AGGGACCCTCCAAATCAATATGTCGCCACTACAATAGGCTACGGGAAAATATGCAAAGGAAGTTTCCCCTGTCTTGGAAAGTTCACCCCACGTCATAGAGCAAGCTTGCAATTCCTTTATCCTCTTAGCTATCCTTGCACTCTGGTTATTCAATTTTTTAGGAAAATTACATATATTAAGACTAGTTTTGATTTCACCTCCTATCATTTTTAAGTGCAGGGATGAAACATCGCATATGGAATACCAATTATTAGAAACTTTATGCAGCAAATCAACCGCACCTGCCGAGGTTAATATCGCTAACACGCATTGATTTGGAGAGATCAAATTTTTCGGCGACCACGCCGTCTTTACTATTCTTGGAAATTTGTCAGTTGCTCCATCAAATTTCGGCGTAATCACATCATTCATAAGAAGCGAATAAATGTCTTTGCGCATCAGATGCCCCATCAAGATGTCCGTCTCGTTTTTAAGTGCACATGTTGGAAAAGTGTCAGGAGGATATATGAAAGACCGGGTAAACTTGAAAGCTGGAGTCGGTGACATAGGCGACGGTTCCAACTGCTGTAATACAAAGAATCGAGGTTAGGTTAGGTTAGGTTACCTTAGTTGCTTTACTTAGCCGGTGTTTTGCATTTATACATAAAAATATCAATAGACACGGCAGTGTCTCGCGCCAAGTACACGCGGAGCGAGACGCACCGTGACTCATTTACGCGAACGCACGAGTTGCGAGTACCCGAGATGTTGAGATCTCTTAAAAATACTACGATGCAGGTATATATAAAACTCAAAGATCGTGTAAATTGCAGAAATAAATTGCTCGATCTCCCTTTCGATATAAATGCAGTACCGGAGATCAACCTTTTGCGATGGAAGAGTAACTTACAAGTACGTGGACGCCCTTCTCCGTGATTATCGAGATTTGATTATCAGGTGACCATTGTATCGCGAATGGGTTCGTCACTAACGGAGAGATACTGACGCTATAAAGTTCTTCCGTTTCCATTACGAGTCGTTAATTTCATTTCTTAAAAATATCACGGCCTCTCAGCTATGAATCTAGTGCGTATGTTCGAAAGAAGCCTGCGGCGCTGCCCAAGCCTAAAGGTGGAAGCACATAAAATTGCAGAAGCCATGAGCAGAATGCAGAAGCCATATGCGCATGCGCTGTGATATCTGTAGCTCTACAAATACCATAGCGCATGCGCATATGGCTTCTGCATTCTGCTCAAGGCTCCTGCAATTTTATGTGCTTCCACCTTAAGGTGGAAGCACATAAAATTGCAGGAGCCATAAGCAGAAAGCAGAAGCCATATGCGCATGCGCTATGGTATCCGTGAGCTCTAACAGATATCATAGCGCATGCGCATATGGCTTCTGCATTCTGCTTATGGCTCTTGCAATTTTATGTGCTTCCACCTTTAGGTTTCTCTCTGGTTGGAGAGTAGTGAGTAGTGAGAGTTGAGAGTTGAGACCATGGTGTAAGAATTACATGGTGTGCTCAATTGTCTGGGGGGATTCGGGTAATGACGTCACTCGTGTCGAATTGTGTAAACAGAGTAGCCAACGTCTAGAAGTAAAACATTTTTGGTGTTGTAATATTGGCACATGTTCATGCATCGTCACACTCATGCCGCTTATGCCACTCAGAAGTACGGTACATTG